GTGTGTGCAGACAGGGACAAGATAGGAAGTTTGTGTGTGCAGAAAGGGACAAGATAGGAAGTTTGTGTATACAGACAGGGACAAGATAGGAAGCTTGTGTGTGCAGACAGGGACAAGATAGGATGTTTGTGTGTGCAGACAGGGACAAAATAGGAAGTTTGTGTGTGCAGACAGGAACAAGATAGGACATTTTGTGTGTGCAGACAGGGACAAGATAGGAAGTTTTGTGTATGCAGACAGGGACAAGATAGGAAGTTTGTGTGTGCAGACAGGGACAAAATAGGAAGTTTGTGTGTGCAGACAGGGACAAGGTAAGAAGTTTGTGTGTGCAGACAGGGACAAGATAGGAAGTTTTGTGTGTAGACATGGACAAGATAGGAAGTTTTGTGCTGTCTACTTTTCTCTCTAGTCTAGTGTGGTGTCCTGTATTTACCTCTCTTCCCTTGTTCCTGTATCTACTCCTCTCCCATGTCTAGTGCATCTTGGCTATCCTCTGGAAAACGGTGGCGGTATAGTCCCTGGAAGTTCGCTATTGACGTGTGACTGAGGCTCTGTTAGGGTATATTTTCGGCCTCGATATATTGGGACCGTTATTCAGAGGATAGCCCATTCTTCTTTACTTCTCTTCTATGTCTAGTGCGTTATCTTTACTTCTCTCCCATGTTTACTGCGTTCTCTTTACTTCTCTCCCATGCTTACTGTGTTCTCTTTACTTCTCTCCCATGTTTACTGTGTTCTCTTTACGTCTCTCCCATGTCTACCGTGTTCTCTTTACTTCTCTCCCATGTTTACTGTGTTCTCTTTACTTATCTCCCATGTCTACTGTGTTCTCTTTACTTCTCTCCCATGTCTACTGTGTTCTCTTTACTTCTCTCCCATGTCTACTGTGTTCTCTTTACTCCTCTCCCATGTTTACTGCGTTCTCTTTACTCCTCTCCCATGTTTACTGCGTTCTCTTTACTTCTCTCCCATGTTTACTGCGTTCTCTTTACTTCTCTTCCATGTTTACTGCGTTCTCTTTACTCCTCTCCTATGTTTACTGCGTTCTCTTTACTTCTCTCCCATGTTTACTGTGTTCTCTTTACTTCTCTCCCATGTTTACTGTGTTCTCTTTACTTCTCTCCCATGTTTACTGTGTTCTATTTACTTCTCTCCCATATCTACTATTTTCTCCTTTATCGACTTCTCTCCCTTTTCTGGTGTGTTTTATGCAACCCTCCCCCACCCCCACCCCCTCTCTCTCCCTCTTTAACATCCCCCGATTCCTTGTCCCACCCATCCTTGTCTAGTTTTTTCTCTGCCATCTACCTCTCATCTCTTGCAGTGTGTATTTTCTGCCATCTATCATTTCCCCGTGTCTACTGTTTGCCAGCCAAGTCTGCCAAGTTCTCTATCTCTCGCCGCTGTTTACTGCGCAGATATACATTCATACAGAAACCGTTACCGTTGACACTACCAACATCGGCAATTTCCTATTATTACACTCCTATTGTATCGGGAACTCCCATTAGTAATACAGAAACATATTCCCCAATTGTTTGTTAACTTGTTCCAGTGTCAGTTTATGTAATTTGTATAATACCCGTTAAAAATATAGCTGTTATAATACCGGTTAATACTTTAACTGAGATACATGTGGACGTTGACTGGAAGGCAACAATTAAAGGGAACAACACGCCATTTAACTTGCCCCGCTCTGACTCGGCTCGGGTTAAGCCTGGTCGCAGGTCTCGGGTTTAGGGGAATCCCCAATTCTGATGCGAGACAAGTATTTCAGTATGTGTAGAGAGCAGGTTGTAGCGGGGGATCATTGATATAACCACGCTACTGCAGACTTCACGCAGTTGCTTGCTGTGAGCGGGGAAACTAACTACGTGTTTGATTCCTGGATTATCTTGGTTAATTTTGTAACTGATTTCAAATTATGGGAAGTATATGTTGGTGCGTTAACTTATTTACTTTCTAGAATCTTCAACATGACTGGGTTGAGAATTATGTTCGTTTGAAAACGGTAAGTGTACCAACAACATTGTTGTATTGTGTCATATTAGCTACGTGACAAATAAAGGTGACGCTCGGAGGGCAATAGGTGCTGATCCCCTTACACTGTCTAGACTTAAGGGCTTCAAGGGACTTAAGCCTTGTTTCTTCTTCTTTTGTCAAAATCTGCTTGTGCCGCAGTCTATCAGATGATCGGCAACCGAGCCAGGGCGCGCTCAGTCGCTTCATATGCCGTGATGTTAGGAAGTCTCAAGTTGTCCGTGACTCCTTCAATCCATCTTCTTCTTGGTCTTCCCCTGCCTCTTGTTGTTTCGATTTTCATGTTGTATGCTCTTGATGCTGGCATCGTTGGTTCCATTTTCATTAGGTGACCAAACCATTTCATTCTTTGCTTCTCAATAAATTTAACGATGGGTATGGTTCCAATAGTTCTTGTGATCACATCGTTTCTCACTCGATCTCTTCTGGTTTTATTCGCAGCCATTCTCAAACATCTCATTTCACAGGTGGTTAGTCTTCTCTCGTGTTCTTTTGTTAATGTCCAAGTCTGACATTGATAACCTAATGTCGGTGTAAAGATTGTATTTATAATTTGTCTTTTTATCTCAGCTGGGACAGCAGGGTGTTTTAAAATTGGGGCAAGCTGGTATGCGACATTGTTTAAGAGCGTAATATTATAAATAACATTATATACATCAAACAAATTGAAGAAGAAAAACATATAATAATATATGCTGAATAATGTGAGATTTATAAATAAATACTTAAATAGACATCTTTAGTAGGTGGTTGTGCAGAGGTGGATTCAGTCCTTTAGACATTTTATAGGAGTTGAATAGCTACCCCTTTCGCCCCAGCCCCCAACAACCCCTATACATTTTCTCGAAAGGAGGGGGGGGGGGCTCAGAGGGCAGAAGCCCTTAGGTTTGGGCATCTCTAGCTCCGTGCAAGTTGCACAGATCATTTCAGTTGAGTTGATTCAAGAACCGACATCACAGCACTCGGGACATTCCCATAAGTGCTCTGTCCCCGTCTTCAGCAGCCAGCGCAGAGTCCCAATACCAATGGTATTAGTGGCATTCTGATTAAACGTCAATCTTGCCTTCCCACTTTTAACCATATCTAGATTTCGATAATATTTTAAAAATTTGTTTATACATATTATTTTGATTTGAAAAAAATATTACTGTATTAATTCACCAATTAATTCATTGTTATTATTATTATTATTATTATTATTATTATTATTATTATTATTATTATTATTGTGCATTAAATAAGAAGACCCCTTGACGCCTAGAAAATGTGTAATATGGCCGAGGCTCCCTCACCCCACCCCCCTCCCCAATCCGTGTTGCATCTGTCTCATTGTTGTTTTCCCTGAAACATAGCTTCCAGTTTACAATAAATACCGGGAAATATTCCCGGAAGTAATAGCGGAAAGTGTATAGTATTGTCTACGTCACACAGTGAGCAGCAATATTTACAATACCGATACCGGACGAGGCACCCCCCACCCCATCCCCACCCCCCAATATGTCTAAAAGGCTTCAAGTGTGGAGGAAATAAAACCTGTATGTTAACATGGACACGGAGCTAGAAGTTATCTGTATGCTATTTCCTAGGAGACTTCCCGTTTGTTGATTCTGAAAATGGTAAGAATGATCTAGCATTGATAGAGCAGTGGGGCACTAATGAACGTAGCATTACTCAGAAACACCAATAGCCGGCACACGGTCGGGGTAGTTTGGGGAGTTCTCTCCAAGGAAATATCACAAACAGGCAGGACATGTTAGGGAACACATCAGACAACAGAGAGGAGAGAAATGTCAGTGAACACAATAAAAGGAAGTAGATATGTGAGAACTTGTCCAACTATAAAGCAGAAGTAAGTATGTAAGATAATACATAAGAAATTTAATGTACTATTTTTTAAACATTTCTGTTGTATGCTAGTCAATCAAATCAATAAACGAAGTTGGTTTTTTTCGGTTGTTTTGCGACTACATGGGTGATGTAATTTGTTTTTCAGATATTTTCGTGGTTCTCGATAAAAGCAAGCCCTCCAGTGGAAGTTTGTTTATTCTAACAACGTGAGGCTTTTTGGTGAAACAGGACATTCCACATCAGCTATGAAGATGCCAGAATCCCGACCCACGAGCAGCAGATGGATGAGCGAGAACGTTCATTGGGACGGGACGGATGATGATTATGATGACAATGACGATCATCTAGACTCTGTCAGCGTATACACACCTGCAGGCAGTGATGTCAACACCCCCGGACCATACTCAGTCAACTCCTTCCCCCCATCTGTGGGTCTCGATGATGATGCCTTCATGCAGACACCACACATGTATGCCCCCACAAGCCCCGACTGTGTCACACCCCTGAAGACTTCCGACTCGGACATCTGTCACTCTGCAGACGACGTTCGTTATTTCTCGTCAACAAAGAAACCTCTCTTATTTTCAGATTTAAATCCGCACCAAAAGACCGCGCCTAACCAGAGCGATGTGGGACGTGGTAGCAACAAGCCGAGGAATGAAGACATTCAGAAGGCGGGATTTCCTAGACCTGATAATCTCCTTAATATTCAGCCTGAACTGGAAAATCAAACTAACTTCTTTGGGAAAGAATCTCCTGCCTTTAGTAGACAGGAGACACGGTCGAGCTCAAAGGACCATGTATCAGAAACGGCCAGCCTGGAGCAGACTGTAGACTCAATCCCTGCCGAAGAACGTCGCATGTCCTTGGAGGAATTTGTTAGTTCATGGACAGGGTCTTTCAATGAACTTATTGGGATGGAAGAACGAAACGACGTCGAGCAAAACGTTTCAAACAACTTGATGGATTGGCCAGCGAAAGGTACACATGTGCCTACTTCAGGACACTACAGGTCAACTGAAGGTGTCAGAAAGAGAGCTGGTCAAGAGTCGATATTCTCAAATCCTGATTTTCCAGATTCGGATTGTGAAATCCTGGTTAAAAGACAGAAGATGATTCCCAGTAAAACCCACTTGGTGCCAGATTTCAAACAAATGGAAGTTAAAAATACTGATTCGCGTATTCCTGAGAATAATGGTATGCAAGGGCTTGGTCTAGCCCAGTATGTGGACAACACTCATCGCCACAGAGCAAAGTCCACTTCAACTGGTCAGAATATCATACACAATGTGTCACCACTTGACACTACCAGATTTAAGCATTTCAGTTTGTCACATACTAGGCAGCTTGGTCCAACAGTTGAAGAACTGCAGCCATCTGCAAAGGCAGCATTCACGTCCATCAACCCAGCCTGCGACCACAACGGCAACTGGGTGCAGACAAACTATCAACCATCAGACAAGCCCATCAGCCCGGGGATCGTCGACACAACCCCAAACCTCAACCAACAGAAGACTTTCACCTCATTCAATGAAACAACCTGTCTTCAAACCCAGCAGCTCACCACCACTTCAAGAAGTCTGTCGACCCAACCAAATACTCCACCTCCTGGATTACCTGATACTCAACTGGATCTCCCCTATCTGGCAGCAATGCCGACAACCCACCTTCCCCAAGAGGTCATTCACAAGTTGGAAGATCATTATCCTGACACGAATAAACCAGCCATTGTCCAAACAAACTGCGACAATCAAAACTTCTTTCTTATAAATGACGATCTATTCCAGCAACAAGGAATAGTACCGGACATAAACACAGTATTAGCGGAACTCATATGTCCAGACCCACATACATTATGTATAACTCACCAGGATGTAGCTACTTGTAACGAAGAAGCAACATCATCAGCAACTCCATCTGCCTCCTTACCTGCATCTGTCAGCTTTAGTGACACATGTCAGTCGCACAGAATTGACGCCGACTCGCATTTGTTGAATCCTTCAGTTGGCACCGATCCTCTACCACTCTCATGTCTGCCGACTGATCCTATCACCGCCCAGGTGTTTGCCACAAACAACACAGACAACACAAGTCTGTACCACACTCAGACATTCCTCGGCTCAGCTGCTGTTTGTCACAGTAATGCTGACGTTTTTGTAAAAGATCTTATGATGCAAGTTGATGCCACTGACATGTCGCCTGGCAACAGTGTGTTGCCAGCTTTAGACCCTAACAACATCACAAGTCCTAGTCCTAATGAAGGCACATACACAGACTACCTCACTGACACACATGTTCCCGCTTACGGAAGTCCTGCTGGTCAACTGCAATATTGGGATGTCCTTCCAGAGAGCTGTATGAATAATGCGGTCGTTGATCCAACCTCATCAAGCGTCGGAACATCATTTGTTTGGGGTGAGGAGCACAGTGTTCTTGCAGAACCTGGTCAGGAGGATGACTGCACCAGCTCCACGGCTGACCTGTTTAGCTTCACCGACTGTGTCAGCGTTGATCAACAGTTGGAAGAGCCTGTCTCAGTGACAGTGAAGCAAACCCTCAAGTCCGCCATCTTGTCAAAACTCCGGAAAGAGGGCAAGCCTGCCATTGAAATTTCCTTCCAGCCGGCGACACAGCACGAGGTGAGGGTCTGGGGTTTGAAAGACTCTACCCACACACATACACACACATTTAAACACATATACAGATACACACACATACAGATACACTCACATACATACACATACATACACAAACACTCATATAAATATAAACATACTTCCACAAACACATAAACACTACGTCTTCTTCTCTGTCTTCTCTTCTTTTTCTTTTTATACCACAACTACCTCCACCACTAGCACTACTGCTACTACAACCACTACTACCACCACCACTAGCATTACTACTACTACTACTACTACTACTACTACTACTACTACTACTACTACTACTACTACTACTACTACTACTACTACTACTACTACTACTACTACTACTACTACTACTACTGGTGCTGCTACTGCTACTACTACTGCTAGTACTACTACTACTATTACTACTACTACTACTACTACTACTACTACTACTACTACTACTACTACTACTACTACTACTACTACTACTACTACTACTACTACTACTACTACTACTACTATTACTACTACTACTACTACTGGTGCTGCTACTGCTACTACTACTGCTAGTACTACTACTGTTACTTCTTTTTCTTCTTCTCTCCTCCTATTCTTCTTCATCTTCTCGTCTTTGTTAGTTTAACTAAGAAAAAGCATCCAACCTTTGTGTATAAAAAACCTCTTTTATCATGATCATCTCCAGTCATCACTTCTATTTTATCTACCTGTGACTTTCTTGTAGTCTCCTTCAATCACAACACTTTCTTGTAGTCTCCTTCAATCACAACACTTTCTTGTAGTCTCCTTCAATCACAACACTTTCTTGTAGTCTCCTTCAATCACAACACTTTCTTGTAGTCTCCTTCAATCACAACACTTTCTTGTAGTCTCCTTCAATCACAACACTTTCTTGTAGTCTCCTTCAATCACAACACTTTCTTGTAGTCTCCTTCAATCACAACACTTTCTTGTAGTCTCCTTCAATCACAACACTTTCTTGTAGTCTCCTTCAATCACAACACTTTCTTGTAGTCTCCTTCAATCACAACACTTTCTTGTAGTCTCCTTCAATCACAACACTTTCTTGTAGTCTCCTTCAATCACAACACTTTCTTGACGTTTTATCTGGGGTTTTTTCCCCCTGGCTTTCCTTCATTCGAAACAAAGATGTAACCTACGTGCCTGTTTCCTTTTCTTACTTTGAGTCAAAAGAAAACTACCCTCCTCTTCATTTTAACGCTCGCTAGCTGTAAACTCTGGCGAAATGTTCTGGTTGTTCGCCCATTTGTTGATTTTTGTCTCGTTCTAAGAATTTGAGTTTAGCATGCGCTTCCGTTTTACAAATCTGGCTTATTTGTATGCATAGTGTTTGTTTCTTGCTTCTTTGGCAGATGCATTTCGGCCTTGAATGAAACTCACCCAGTTAGTGGTTTGCACGACATGTTTATTAGGGAGGCAAAACGATAACCGACATCACCTTTGTGACTGTTCCTTGTGTCTGTGTTTCATGCAAAGAGATAGTACCGTGTATTTCATCTCTGCCTTCTTCTCTCTATCTTGACAACAGCTGACACAAGAAGAGCGAGAAAAGGAGAAGCGAAGGAAGGAGCTTAACAGAAAGGCAGCAGCCAATCACAGACAGAAGAAGAAGGTCAGCAGACAGTCACTGAAACAGGTTAGTTAGTTCTATCTATCTATCTATCTATCTATCTATCTATCTATCTATCTATCTATCTATCTATCTATCTATCTATCTATCTATCTATCTATCTATCTATCTATCTATCTATCTATCTATCTATCTATCTATCTATCTATCTATCTATCTATCTATCTATCTATCTATCTATCTATCTATCTATCTATCTATCTATCTATCTATCTATCTATCTATCTATCTATCTATCTATCTATCTATCTATCTATCTATCTATCTATCTATCTATCTATCTATCTATCTATCTATCTATCTATCTATCTATCTATCTATCTATCTATCTATCTATCTATCTATCTATCTATCTATCTATCTATCTATCTATCTATCTATCTATCTATCTATCTATCTATCTATCTATCTATCTATCTATCTATCTATCTATCTATCTATCTATCTATCTATCTATCTATCTATCTATCTATCTATCTATCTATCTATCTATCTATCTATCTATCTATCTATCTATCTATCTATCTATCTATCTATCTATCTATCTATCTATCTATCTATCTATCTATCTATCTATCTATCTATCTATCTATCTATCTATCTATCTATATCTATCTATCTATCTATCTATCTATCTATCTATCTATCTATCTATCTATCTATCTATCTATCTATCTATCTATCTATCTATCTATCTGTCTGTCTGTCTGTCTGTCTGTCTGTCTGTCTGTCTGTCTGTCTGTCTGTCTGTCTGTCTGTCTGTCTGTCTGTCTGTCTGTCTGTCTGTCTGTCTGTCTGTCTGTCTGTCTGTCTGCCTGCCTGCCTGCCTGCCTGCCTGCCTGCCTGCCTGCCTGCCTGCCTGCCTGCCTGCCTGCCTGCCTGTCTGTCTGTCTGTCTGTCTGTCTGTCTGTCTGTCTAAGTCCTTCTGTCTGTCTCTCTATCTCTGTCTGTTTATTTCTCTCTCTCTCTCTATCTCTCTCTTTCTCTCTCTCTCTCTCTGTCTGTACGTCTGTCTATCTGTCATATCGCTCACTCGACAAAGCCACTACTTCTGACATCACTTAACCACTATAACGTTTATCTCCATTGCTACAGACACAGTCCTCTCACCCTAGCAGGGACCACACATCTCACCCGACCAGAGACCACAGATCCCAACCCACCAGGGACCACACATCCCATCTCATCAGGGACCACACATCTCAACCCACCAGGGACCACACATTTCACCCAACCAGAGACCACACATCCCACCCGACCAGAGACCACACATCCCACCCGACCAGAGACCACACATCCCACCTGCCCAGAGACCACACATCCCACCCGACTAAGGACCACACATCACACCTGACAGGAGACCACACATCCAACCCGACCAGGGACCACACATCCCACCTGTCCAGAGACCACACATCCCAACCCACCAGGGACTACACATGTCACTCGACCAGAGACCACACATCCCAACCCACCAGGGACCACACATCTCACCCGACCAGAGACCACACATCCCACCCGACCCGAGACCACACATCCCACCCGACCAGAGACCACACATCCCACCCGACCAGAGACCACACATTCCACCCGACCAGAGACCTCACATCCCACCCGACTATGGACCACACATCACACCTGACAGGAGACCACACATCCCACCCGACCAGGGACCACACATCCCACCTGTCCAGAGACCACACATCCCAACCCACCAGGGACCACACATCTCACTCGACCAGAGACCACACATCCTAACCCACCAGGGACCACACATCTCACCCGACCAGAGACCACACATCCCACCCAACCAGAACACACATCCCACCCAACCAGAACACACATCCCACCCAACCAGACCACACATCCCACCCAACCAGAACACACATCCCACCCGACCAGACCACACATCCCACCCAACCAGAACACACATCCCACCCGACCAGACCACATATCCCACCCAACCAGAACACACATCCCACCCAACAAGAACACACATCCCACCCAACTAGAACACACATCCTACCCAACCAGAACACACATCCTACCCAACCAGAACACACATCCTACCCAACCAGAACACACATCCCACCCAACCAGACCACCCATCCCACCCAACCAGAACACACATCCTACCCAACAAGAACACACATCCCACCCGGTGTGACTGCCACATTTGAGTGACGGTCTCGTCTCTTCTTTCTTTCCAGGAATGGGAGGAAGAGACTAAGAGGAACTGTGCGCTGAAGGAAGAGATTGCCCAACTACAGTTTCAGATTCGCTCTTACAAACGATCATTTCCGCCAGAATTGCTGCAGAGATTTATAGCTGGGAGTAAGGTCCCTTTTACATGAAAGTTCTGGTCGTTGGGAAGTTAAAGAGGGGGGGGGGGGGGGGGGGGGGGGGGGGGGGGGGCTAGATTTTGGCTAATTCGTATGACAAGGGTATACATCTGACAGTCTGTAATGATTTTGTTTTTTCTTTCAATTTGCTATCATTTATTGAACGATTACGTTGTTTTTCTAGGCTTGTGATTACTGATATTGTATTCTTCACACGCCAAGCCTACGGCTCCCTTTCCTATAAAGAAAAAACAAAATCGCTCAGCGAAACGGCCCTGTCTTGAACTTCAACTCTTTGGCGTGGAGCCGTGGTTATAAGACCCTACATTCTAGGCCTCTACGTTAGCGCAGTCGATAAGAGGCTCGCTTTCAAATCTAGCTACGACTCGCTGCATCTCACAGTCGGTGTTCGAAACCAAGCGGCTCCCGGGGTTCACCCAGACTCTAGGAAATGGGTACCAGAGTTGACACTCTGGGGTAAATGGAGGAACATCGCTGTAGCTACAGAGTTACGTGCAAACGGCGACACAGGCGGACAATTCTGATCAGCTGTCCGTACTGGTGGCAGAATACTTATGGTTTATAACCGTGTGCATGACGCTGGTTCACATCTCCCGACTTTACCTTTTTTTTTACCTCTAGTCTGTGATAAAGAGGTCAGTACTTTGCTGCCCAATCTGTGTATTCATTGTTGTAAGCTTCCGGTCGTTCTTCTCCAAGTTATCATGTCGCCAAAATCTGTCCAAGAGATCCAAAAAAAAAAAAAAAAACTACCCTGTTCACTTTGTTTCTTTAAGGCTGTGTCAATGTGTTACAGAACTCCCACCCTGTAAAAAATGTGAAGATGCACCAAAGCTACAACATGATTTTTTGTTTTGTTTTGTGGTTTAAAATTGTTGTTATTGTTGATTTTTCTAGACATAAATATCCCAGTGCTAATGGAAATACCTGTCACTGCACATGTTCACCAGTTGTATATATGTAAATATCGGTTTTTTTAATAAAACTTGCCACTTTTGATTACCTTAAGTTTTCCAATCTTGTCTATGCAGATATAAACATTAGTGATCATTGTTGATGTATGTTATATGTGTTTCATTACAAATAATTATCTTCCACTTTATTAACTTTATATTGCTGCTTATTCCAGTAGTCAGCTGCTACTAGTTTTTGTTGTTGTTACCATTCTAGTTTAATACTGCCTTTAATCTGTTCACCTTCATCTAATTGTCTTCTTGTTCTGCGATCTCTGACCATGCTCCTACTCTCATGTGATCCATAAACTGGGAGGTCATCTCAGGGTCTCTTAGGTTTCCCCAAAGCTGAGTTGTCAGGTCTACTGGGTGTGGTCGCATGTAGCTCCGCAGCTCCGCCAAGAGAGGACAGTCTTGTAAGACATGTTCTGGAGACAGTCTGGTAAGACATGTTCTGGAGACAGTCTGGTAAGACATGTTCTGGAGAGAGTCTTGTAAGACATGTTCTGGAGAGAGACTTGTAAGACATGTTCTGGAGAGTCTTGTAAGACATGTTCTGGAGAGTCTTGTAAGACATGTTCTGGAGAGTCTTGTAAGACATGTTCTAGAGAGAGACTTGTAAGACATATTCTGGAGAGTCTTGTAAGACATATTCTGGAGAGTCTTGTAAGACATGTTCTGGAGAGAGACTTGTAAGACATGTTCTGGAGAGAGACTTGTAAGACATGTTCTGGAGAGAGTCTTGTAAGACATGTTCTGGAGAGAGTCTTGTAAGACATGTTCTGGAGAGAGACTTGTAAGACATGTTCTGGAGAGAGTCTTGTAAGACATGTTCTGGAGACAGTCTGGTATGACATGATCTGGAGACAGTCTTATAAGACATGATCTGGAGACAGTCTTATAAGACATGTTATGGAGACAGTCTTGTAAGACATGTTCTGGAGACAGTCTGGTAAGACATGATCTGGAGACAGTCTTATAAGACATGATCTGGAGACAGTCTTATAAGACATGTTATGGAGACAGTCTTGTAAGACATTTTCTGGAGACAGTCTTGTAAGACATGTTCTGGAGACAGTCTTATAAGACATGTTTTGGAGAGAGTCTTGGTCTTGAGTCTGTTCAGCTCAAAAACACAGACAGAGAGCGGCTTTAGGAAAACCATTCCCTACATATTCCCCTCCATACCCCCCCCCCCCTCCATACCCCCCTCCCCTCCATATCCCCCTCTCCTTTTATTGTCACTTCTTTACCTACCATTCTTTCATTATTTCTTTACCTTCTCTGTTATCGATACTTTTTTTCATCTTCCTTGATAAACACGTTATTTCCTCTGCCTTCGTCAAAAGTTCTTCACCTCCTCACTTGGAGGTTAGTGAACGTGTTTAACAATTTCATGGTCCTGGACAACTTGAAAACAATTCCCGATTTTTTATTTAAAAAAAAAGGTTTCATGGTATTTAGAGATTAGTACGAGAATCACACTGGGCTATCACCATGTAATATTTCCAAAGACAAAAGTGGGCACACTGCAGCCGACCTTCACTGTGGAGACGACACACCATATGTTTATGAATGCAATTCACTTTCCTTATTATCAATATGTCTGTTCTTTCTCTTTTATAAAAAATTCCATTACGTTCATTTCAAGAAAACTTTCTTCGTCTCGCTGTTTAAGTTAAGGTTTAAACAATGGATCAAAATCATTGCTCAAGGTTAGTAGTAACCCATAAGTGCTTCGTTCTACTTCTAACTCAAATCGGAGTTCGAAGCATCTCAGCACAGTGCACGGGCTCCTTAGCACCGGCGAGGATCCTAAAATATTTTGGGTAGATATTTAACTCCAAAATTTGCCCAGGCGGCGCCATTAAGCTACTCTTTTTGATTTTCAACTGCCAAGTGAAATAATACACACGGGCGTGTGGGAGGAGTGAATCGGGACTAGCTGATTGCTTCTATACAAGACAGAAAAACTGTCCCAGGCAAGCCAGAGAAAAGTAATAAATGTGGAAACAGGATTTCATAGATAACCTGAACGAACCCAATGGAAAAGTCAAAGGTTAACTTTATATTTACATATGACGTGGCTCGGGGTTACCGTCTTAACGATGAACTATTTATAGAAATCACAAATATGTTCACATTTCCGATACATTTGGTTGTGAAGATTCACATTTGCTAGTATTTAGATGTGAATATATTATGTATTATAATAATTGTATTCTCTCTCTCTCTCTCTCTCTCTCTCTCTCTCTCTCTCTCTCTCTCTCTCTCTCTCTCTCTCTCTCTCTCTCTCTCTCTCTCTCTCTCTACGCTTGCAAACAATATTTAAATTCCGACATATATAGTAGCAGTTGTTGTAGCCGCAGTGGTGGTAGTTGTAGTTGTGGTAGCAGCAGCAGCAGACTCAGGAGCAATAAGAGAGCACCCTTTTGGTGCCGTAAAGACTCCAAACATTTTGATTGCGGCCCCCCTCCCCTTTTTCCTCTCAGCACTTAAAAGATGTTGGTACCTCCTCCACGAGCCGTCTTAACAGCTTTCTGGGCCTCAGTACAAAACATTGTCCTGGGGCCTCTATGAGAAGCAGTCACGGGAATGAAATTTCAATAATCACATGACATAGACTTTGAACAAGTTTTCGCGTACGTTGTTTTGACTGCAAAAACTACATTATCCTCGGCACATTGTGTCACCTTTTGTTTATCGCTTGTGTGATGTCCTGGTGGGGTACAACTTACCTATCTACTAATCGTATGTAACTCATCCGCTTCTGTACTGAATGGATATAAGATATCCAGCCTGACTGGTTGTGTTGTTGTTCTGTTGGGATTTGTTTAATATACTTACCCGAGAAAATAAAGTCTCATCCCCAAGGAAAATGTGTGTGGTGCCCCCGTCCCCTTTGTGATGCGCTAAGAAAGTGCTTGGTGTGCCTTTTGGGCAATCAGGTTCGAAGCAGCAATAGCAGTAGTAGTTGTAGTGGTGGAAGTAAGGGTAGCTGTAGTGGTGAAAATAGGGGTAGTTGTAGTGGTGGAAGTAGGGGTAGCTGTAGTGGTGGAAGTAAGGGTAGTTGTAGTGGTGGAAGTAGGGGTAGCTGTAGTGGTGGAAGTAAGGGTAGTTGTAGTGGTGGAAGTAGGGGTAGCTGTAGTGGTGGAAGTAAGGGTAGCTGTAGTGGTGGAAGTAAGGGTAGCTGTAGTGGTGGAAGTAAGGGTAGCTGTAGTGGTGGAAGTAAGGGTAGCTGTAGTGGTGGAAGTAAGGGTAGTTGTAGTGGTGAAAGTAAGGGTAGCTGTAGTGGTGGAAGTAAGGGTAGCTGTAGTGGTGGAAGTAAGGGTAGTTGTAGTGGTGGAAGTAAGGGTAGCTGTAGTGGTGGAAGTAAGGGTAATTGTAGTGGTGGAAGTAAGGGTAGCTGTAGTGGTGGAAATAGGGGTAGTTGTAGTGGTGG